ATCTTAACTGCGCACACCTCCCAGGAAAGGTGCTTGGGAGACCTCCAGTCTTCAAAATCCAGGGGAGCAGAGGGAAAAAATAACCTCAAGCCTGTAGTTAGGGCTTCAACTCACACATACACACACACTTTTATGTCATACTCTTACCTGTGCTCCTGGCTTCTCATATTACTCTCATGTGTTTACAGTCATATATATGTGTGTATTTACCTTGATGGTTAACCTTCACATAGACTTTTAAATACTTCCTGAACAAAACTTGCTTCCATTGTTCCTCTGAGCCAGTTTAACATCAGCACAGTTGGAAGGTGCTGAGGGCAGGGAGAATATTTTTAGTGTACTTCTAGGCTGAAACTTTGAATCTTGCTCAAATGAATAAAACGTACAATTCTAATTTTAAACTTTTGGTAACGCCACTCTGGTCCTTAAACATTTAGACCTTGCTGAAAGTACTACTCTTACCAAGGAAGGTGGTTTTGTTTTGTTTGTGAATTTGGATCTATTTTTAAAATATACACAGTTTCTGTTACTTGATTTCATAGGTAATATTAGGGAGAGAAATTGTGAACGCAGGCACTCCGGAAACTGCATTTTGAGAGTCTGTGTGCAGGCAGGGTGGCTGAGGCAAGCTCTCCACCCAGCCATAGAGAAAGAGGCTTCAATCCTTCGTGGAAACAGCTGCAGCCAGCCCCACACAAGTTTGGTGTGAAGTGCAGCACAGGACCTTTTATAACTTGGGGGTGTCAGAGAAACTGTTTAGTGATAGAAAAATGCCAGTGGCTTTGCAATCCCAATACTTATTAATAACATGCAGTAATACACAAAAGACTGAACAACAGAAATATTACTAATTATTATTTTATTATTTATAGTTATAATTATAATATAATAAATGTATAATTAAATTATAGTATTTTATAATATATAAATATATATTCTAATACATTATATATAATATATATAATGTATATTATATATTATTATATATTATACTTATAATTTAAAGTATATTTATAATACATTATTATTATTATTATTATTATTACTACTACTACTACTACTACTACTAATTTATTGGTGAAAATGGCAAATCCTCTCCTTGAAGCAACCTGGAAGCTTGAGCTGTGACAGGAAGGAAGTATTCTGCACCTATCTTAAGAGAAAATGCACCCTGCTTTTAAATTTCTGTGCTACCTTATTTCTTTTTTTTTTTTAAGGTGTGGACAGGAAGGAATGCTTAGTTGTATTTTCTCTTTGCTTTGCATTCTGTATCTTCATGATGGTGCGTTAAGGTAGCAGTGTGATCTGCAGCAATCCCAGGAGCAGCACTAATGTCACTAGAAATAAAGTGTTCTAAGGATATTATCAAGACAATTTCTGCAGGGACAATTAATATCCTTTAGCACACCAGCTCATATAACAGGGAAAATCATGTACAGATTGAGAAAAAAACTGCTACAATGAGTTTAACACCATCGTGTTAATTGGTTATTCAGTTTGAGGGGAAATGGTGCCTGTTATCTGTCATGCCAGGAGAGGAGACCTTAGCAATGGAAAATGCAGAATTTTCCCCATTTGTTATGGGTCAAGGACATCTTTATTGCCCATGGAAGGTCAAGGTGGATGTGGAAGTGTTCCCTAGGATGTTTCCCAGCAGACGAAAGGGCAACCAGAGGAACACGGCCACAGTTTGTTACCTACAGCAAGGAAGTGTGAATAGAAAACAGAGTACATGTGCCTCATATTAGCCATAATGTGAAGGACAACTGACTTGTTTAGGAGGAGAGAGAAAGTGCATGAAAATTCCCCAGTATCATGCAGGGCCCTGACAAAATTTGATCCTTGGGAGGAAAGTGGAGGTGATGACGCTGCTTGAATATAGATGAAACACACTCCTGCTCCCCGGAACCTTGCTGAAGGAATTGTCCCTCTCATTTCTTCTACCATTGTAATATCACAAAACTGAGTGAGTAGGAGGTTTCCCAGATTACCGAGGGTTTAACTCCAAGAAAAGCAGATCAGATGGTTGGTTGGTTGGTTGGTTGGTTGGTTGGTTGGTGGTTTTTAATGGCATTTTAAACCAAACCAAACCAAACTACTTGGTCCATGGTTAGCATTCACTGATCTTCCTGGCTTGAATGGCTGCTTTGGGGAGTAGCTCGGCAGAGCTTTGTCTGTAAGCCCCTTAAAGAACAAGTCTGAGTGGGACCTTTTTTACAGTCCATCACCACTCTGAATATATGGACTGAAGTGTGTAAAAAAAAGCTAACTGTCCACATTTCCACTTTCCTCCACGAAAAAACCATTTGACACTGATCAAGTAAATTGCTGGTTTTCAGTCTTATGCATTTTATTATTTTTAGATGAACACAGCACAAGAGGTACTTGTTTGTTTCTGTTTTGACAAGTACTAATTATCATGGCCAAGGTTAAAAGATTTAGACAACTTCCTTCTTTTCTGCAGTCAACAATATTTAAGAAAGAAAAAACAGTGACTGAAAAGAAAAATATTTTGATTAAAGACACAAACCAATATCAAAAGTCTTGTTTAGATTTGATTTAATGAAACTCTTAAGTATTTTAATAATGCTGTTTTTTAAATCAGAAAACCCAGCATTTAAGATTGTTCTTCCATAGTGAAAAAGTATATGCAGGAAGCAACTGGGCTTCACAAAAAGAGATACTGTACATAATGTGAAGATCCTTCTTTTGTTTCCAAACTCAGTCATTTTATACAAAATCAGAATCAAATTTCACCAGTTCCAGGAAGTATTTCAGAGATCCTTCCATATTCCAACTTATTACCACAAGATGCCTCAAGGCAATCCTTTCCTCTTTACTATATCCTGTAACTGTCTTGAAGCATGCAGAAACTGAATTGCTGTAAAACTGCATTACCCTGTCATGGGCTTGAAATCCTTAGGAAAATTGTGATAGCTTTACACCTTAAATTATTTAAAGTATTTAAAGTTTAAAATATTTTTTTTTTTTTTACAATATAAAGAAATCCCATACCAAATTACTCATAAAACTGTGACAACGACTATAAAACGTCAGCATTAACAAACAATTAGTATATACACACACAATTATATATACATGATTTATGTCTCATTTAAAGATAAGGAAATTCTGTATGTTACAACACAGACTGCTGGACTTCTAAGTGGGTTTCTTAATGTAGTTCAGTGTCTTCAGGGAGTTCTCTAAAACACACATACTCTATAATAGGACAGCCAATACCTATAACTAAGGGTGGGTTAAAATTAATTGCTTGACACCTGAACCAAACTGACTGAACAGTGATGCAAATCCTTCCGTGTTCCACTGCGCTGCAGTGAGCTACACTCCTGCCAGAATCCATAAATACGGTCTTAACACTGAATATGGAACCACGAATCTTGACTCTCTTGACCCTTCCCCAGCATATTTTTTCCTCTATTCTCTTCCCATCCATTCGTATCCCCAGCAGACAGCATAAATTGGATTAGCATACAGAAGCTCATAAAAAGCCCCGACACACCCCACAAAAACAGCCCCCACCCGCCAAAAAAATTCAAATTAAACAAACAATAAAAAAACCCCTCCACATGCTGCTTTGAGTGTAGCTGAATTTTCCTGCCTGACTCTTTGGGCTTATTGATCAGAGGCTTGAACTTTTCACCCCTTTGGCAGCACAGGCTTTCTGATGGCCGCAGTGCGAGGCTCGCCTGCCCGCAGAGGCTGCTGCTGCTGGCGGCTGTGATAACAAGTGACATTAATCACGTCGCTCCCTCCCCATTAACGCTTGCGTGCTCACAAGGCTACTGTGATCACACAGCCTTTTTTGGCTGGCGATAATGCAATCAATCTGATTTATACGGGCGGCGCGGCATTCAGCGCTCCTGCGGGGCGTTAGCGGGCCGCTGACCCGCCGAGTGCGGCTTCACCTCGGGGCGGGCAGGGCACACACCTCCGGGAGCAGCGGTGTCCCGGTGTCCCTGCAGCACACGGCCACTCGGACAGCTCATGCCCTGAAACCAGGGAGGCTGAGTCAGCCCGACGAGCCAAAGACTGTGCTGGCTACAGAAACAGCAACTACCCAGAAAGTTGCTTGGTGCTGTGAAAAACGCCAATCACTTGTTTTTAACATTTTTTTAAAGATTTTAAATTAAAGTGGGAGCCACCAAGCCGGGGGACCGGCAAAAGAAACACTGCAGGAAGGCGGAAAAGCCGGAATTTTTGTGCATGCTTTGTGTGAAATAGAGGCCGTGCAGAAGGAGCGGAGGGACAGCGCAGCGCATCCGAGGCCGGGTCGCACTCCGCGGCTCTTGTGCCGTGCCCGCCGAGCGGAGCGGAGCCGAGCGGCCCCGGGCCCGGCAGTGCCGCCGCCGTGCTGCGGCCGGGCTCAGCCTGCGGGGCTGCTCGGAGTCACGGAACGGCTTGGGGTGGAAGGGACAGCAAAGCTCGTCCAGTTCCATCTCCTCTACTACACCTTCCACTAGACCAGCTTGCTCAAAGCTCTGTCCAGCCTGGCTTTCAACACTTCCAGGGACAGGGCATCCACAGCTTCTCTGGGCAACCTGTTCCAGTGCCTCACCACCATCACAGTAAAGAATTTAATATTAATGTCTAATCCAACCCTACGCTCTTTCAGTTTGAAGCCCTTGCCCCTTGTCCTGTCACTCCAGGCTCTTGGAAAAGGTTCTCTCCAGCTCTGAACCACCGCCGAGCTTAAACCACCGCGCACTCGGCACATGCACACCCAGCCCCTGTGGGGGTCGTGTCCCATCCGTGCCGGGGCTGCTCAGAGCCCGCAGGCACCGAGAGCCCCGAGCGGCCACCGGCGCTGGGCAGGGCACCGGCGACAGCGGCCACCGCGGCCCCGCCGCCGCCACAGCGGAAGCGGCTGCGCCGCCGGAGCCGGCGGACGTGACCTCACGGCACGGCCCCTTCCCGGCCCTCCTCGCCGCGTCTGGCAGCTCCCGGTCGGCGGCAGAGGAGGAGGAGGAGGCGGAGGAGGAGGAGGAAGGCGGGCGGATTCGAGATGCAGCCGGCGCAGCTCGGGCGCGCGCCGCGGCACCTGCTGGTGTGCGAGCGCGGCCACGCGCGCCACCCGCGCTCGCGGCACGCGGCGCACGTGCGGGACCACGCCTACAGCTGCCGCGTGAGTGGCGCGAGCGCGGGCCCCGGGCCTCGGCGGGACCCCCTCAGGGAGACGGGGAGGGGAAGAGGGAAGGGAAGGGAAGGGAAGGATCGGAGCTGCCCACGCCGCCCATCCCGGGGGTTCTGCCCGTCAGGCGCTCCAGGGGCGCGGTGCCGGTGCCCCGCTCGGGTGTTCTGTGGGGGCTCCTCCGTCCTTGGCAGAGGATGCGCGCCTCGTTTTTGGGGAGGGAAAAAAAAAAAATAAAAGGCAAATTAGCCCCTTTGCGTTTGTGGTCTCGCGCAGCGTGGGAGAAACAAACTCTTTTCCTTCCTCCAGGAGCAGTGAGGTGATGGTGCCGCTTTTGGGAGCTCTCTAAACACAGGCGCAGGGTCCGGGTTAGAAAGGAGACATCGTTTATTCCGCGCAGGGTGCAAGGCGGGGTTTCCGCAAGTCGAGCACACCACCTATCAAAACTTTTCACTATTTATACATTTTAGCGAACAAAGGAATTAGTGTTCATTGGCTACAATGAACTTTTTAATTAGTATTCTATCTTCTGTTGGTTAATGAGTCTCCCATGCTAATTAATCCTCATGCTCAGTCTTTCTCTGCTTAGGAGTCAGGGGGTTTCTGGGGTTGGTGGCCATTCTCCACCTGCCAGAATTGCCTTTTATCCACTCAGAGCTGATTCAGCAGAGTTGCTGGGTTTATTAAGTTTCTTACTTATTTTGGGAGTTCTGCCGAATGTCTTTGTGGCCTGTAAATTCTGCGTTCTTTCTGCCCACTATCAGTGGTACATCCTTCTCCCCGAGCTTTGTTAGCCTCACCCTAGGTGTGAGATCACTGAAACATGTCCAGCCCTAAACGTTAACAAAGGGACCTGGACTTCACTTAGGGCTTGTTAGCTGTGCTCTTGTTTCATGGATTAAATCTTCCTTCTTGTTGATTAGGCTTGAAAGTGTACAAGTGCCAAACATCAAAGAACATCCTTAAGAAAATTTGTAGGTATTCCACATTTTGCAGCAATCAGGCAGGACCCTGTTTCATAACCCCCTTCTCATACCCTGTAGCTCTCTGGGCTAATTGTTCACTGTTTCTGACTTCTGAGACGTTTTTAGCAGCTAATCAGAGAGCTTTCTACCGGTGTGGAAGGCAGCTCGTTTGTCAGTCCTCACTTCTCTTGAACAGGTGTGCCAAGGGAAATAAATACACACCTGTTCTCGAAGAGCTTTGGGAAAGAAGTGTTTTTGGGGGATGGAAGGGGGAGCAAGGAGACAGGCAGCTTCATACTTGCCCATCTATTACTTGCCAGATATTACCTTGTTTCCCTGGTCTGCCAGACTTCAGGGTTCTCTTGGTCTATGGAACATGTACAGGGAAGGTTTTAAGTGAAAGGTAAATTGAAGATTTTACTTTGGTCTTTGCTTTTCCACTAAGATTACAGAAATACTTAGCCTATATTTTTAGTTACAGCTACTTCATCAAGTACTCCAGCAAAGGCTGAAGGAGGTGTCCCAGTGTGACATCAAGCTAAATGTATAATGATGTGAAATGAGATCTTCTGTTAACTCATGCTGTGTAAGATCATGTCTTTACATAATACGTCAAATGCTATTGTATAGCAATAAAAAAAAAAAGAAAGAAAAAAACCCCAAAACCAAACTAAACCAAAACAAAACAAAAAAACGCCTCAAACCACCAAATAATGTATTTAGTGTACCTAGAGACTATGAAAATTGATACATTTTGAAGACAGTAGCCTGATACTACTTCTTTTCCATCTCATTTTGACGTAATATACTGATACATCTTTGGAAAGTAGAGGTTTTCTTTTGTATTTCTTGTTGTTTTGTTTGGTTGGGGTTTTTTCAGAACAGGTTTTAGGATAGGTTTTACATTACAAATATGTTCCTAATAGGTGTCTTTTTTGATCCCGGAATGTGGCATGCTACCTGAAGTGCTGAAAAGCACAATTGCAGATATTGGAGAGTACTACCTGGTGAGGAATTTACCCATTCATGAATTGGTTGCACATGAATTCATTGATGCTTTCGTGAAGAAAGGTAAGGAGGAAATCAGAACTGAACAAATGCAGACATAATGTACTTTATTATAGCACAGTAAAATTTTTAATAGTCTTATTTATTCTGAAAAGTGTTTTAAAGGAAGGAAAAGAAAAGTACTAAGCAAATTCTGCATCTTATATGCTTTTTTCTGCTCTGTCATGTGTGACGTTTGTTTATACCCACTGGGTCCAAAACTCCTGTGATTCTTCCTTATAAATTTCTCTCTATTCCACCTCAATTCTGAAAGCCGGCTATCAAGAGGGCTTCCATGTATCCTCACACCTGTTTCTTCTACACCTCACTTTTATGCAGATTCTTGTAGAAATCTTCCTTCTCCCTTTTTTGTTCCTTCATACACAGAGCTGTACTGAGCTGTGCTCCACGGCAGGCAAGAGAAAAATATGCTTCCTTATTTTTTATATTTCACTAAGAGAGCTGTGACAGCTCATCCTTTCCCAGTAAGAGGAAAGAGGATGCAAAGAAAGATACAGTGTCTGCCCAGCCACGTTGTCTTTGGGTGAATGAGTAATAAAAATGTCTGGGAAAAAATTGAGTTTTTCATTTGATGACTGGAGAGAGTCACAGATGGAAGGAAAGAAAATGTTTTCATATCAGGGCATATTATTAACATTATCCCTATTATAGGTCCTTTAAAATATTGTCAGAACTGGGTTTATAAAAATAATAACAATGCCATTTTGCTTGAGAAGGTGGAAGAAAGTAGATGAAAACATGAGAGTGATTCAGATGGTGTTTGTCATGTTTGGTTGTCTTGAAGTGAGTTGTTTATCTTGTCATGTCTGACTTTACAGACTGTAATCTCATGTTTTTCTGCTTTACTGTTAAAGGTTCATGCTACGCACTTACCTATAAGACAAAAATTGATCAAGATAATACTGCAGCTCTGCTACCAAATGGTATGGGGGATTTGTTTTGGTCTCAGTAATACATGTCAATTGTGGTCTGGGTTGTTTTTTTTAATTTGGAGTGATGTAAACTGGATAATAATGCTTACTGTACTTGCCAACTTTGTTAGAAATACATGTGAATTGCAAAAATACTAATTTTAGCTTTTTTCATTCAAGCTGTTAAATTTTTTATCTCATCTAAACGAAATTAAAAACCAATAAAAATCAGCTTCGTTTATGCATAGTCAGATTGTCACTGCTTCAACCATAATTGCAATTGCTACATAATTGCTTTGCGATCTTGACAAAGATTGCTATCTTTGTAAAAACATTGCATTCCAACTTTCTGTTTCCTGCTGGTCTTTAAGACATAATTTGTACCAAAAATTAAAGTCATCAGCACTGCTTAGGAGCACTTTTAAAATATTAAGTGTTTATTCTCATGAGACCCCACCTTGAGTACTTCATTCAACTTTGGGTCCCCAGCACAGGAAGGACACGGACCTGCTGGAACAAGTCCAGAGGAGGTCACAAAGGTGCTCACAGAGCTGGATCACCTCTCCTATGAGGAAAGGCTGAGAGAACTGGGGTTGTTTAGCTTGGAGAAGAGAAGGCTGTGGGGAGAATCAGAGTGCCTGCCTGTACCTAAAGGGGGCCTGAAAGCAAACCACAGAGGAAATTTTTAACAGGTCTTGTAGTAGTAGGATGTGGGGGAGTGGATTCAAACTGGAGATGGGTAGGTTTAGACTGGATATTAGGAAAAAAGCCCTTACTGTGAGGGTGGTGAGGCCCTGGAACAGGTTGCCCATAGAAATTGTGGTGCCCCATCCCTGGAAGTGTTCAAGACCAGGCTGTAGGGGGCTTTGAGCAACCTGGTCCTGAGCAACCTGGAAGGTGTGTCTGCCCATGGTAGAGGGGATGGAATTGGATGATCTTTACTGTCCCTTCCAACCCAACCCAAAGTTTGATGATTCTGTGACGATTCTGTGATTCCCTGAGAACTATGTGACATGTTAAAAGTCTATTTCAAATGCACCAAGTTTTATGAGAAGACATCTCATAAATCTCAGGGACAACTCAGGTGAGAAAATGAAGCTATTTTGAGCTTCAATTACAGTGTATTAAATATAATAGAAATACAAACTGGTCTACCTGCCCTCCAGCCTAAGAATCTGTAATATGACAGGTGCCCATGGGGGCATGAGCAAATTCAGATTGTTCAGAAGAATTCTTTTATATGTTAGCACAGTCCTGGCAAAACAGATACTTGATAGCGATGGAGTTTGTGTGATACAAGTGTTACAAGCTGTGCACAATTATCGCAGAAGCAGTGTTATAGTTCTTAGTGATGTCACTGTCTGAACTCTTCCTCTGCAGTCTTATTTGTTTGTGTTCTGTGCTGTGCTGTTATTTGTGCAGTAGAACCCAAGGACTGTGTTAGAGACAGAGCTGTTGTGTGAAGCTCTGTACCAAGCAGCAGCAGCCAGATCTAGTTTATGAGCACAGAAGCAGAGTTGTTCCAGCATGCATCAGCTCATCGCTAGCAGGCGTAGTTTACTCAGAGTGAGTAGTCCCACTGGACTTGGAGGAACTGCTTTTGTTTATTTAGTTGAGCAGTGCATGTTGAGCATGAATGTTTACTAAATCAGGCCCTTGTGCAATGTAGTGCTCGGCTAATGACACAGCAAGTGCTAGAGGATGAGTGGAGGAAAGATGGAGACAATGAACTGAGTAGTACAGTAAAAAAGCTATGATTATCTCAGGAATAATATTATGCTTTTCTTACTCTAGTTCACAAGACCTCTTTGATAAAAAAAGAATAATTGAGTTATAACCTTTTTTTATTTAAGGATTAATCTGGTAATCCATTTAACTGGAACTAAGGAGTCCGCATTACATTAGTAATACCATTGATCCGAAGCTAATGTTGTAAAAGGTGTATAGTTCTCAAAAAACTTCAAAGGGAACCAAGTAGAAGATTATTTCTATTAAAATTTGGTTTGTTCATAGGTAAACTGATTCTGTCAGTGGATAAGGATACTTATGAGGAACTTGGACTGCAAGGTCGCCCTTCTCGGTATTCAGGCAAAAAAGTAATGCGATATAGTAAGTACTTGTATAAACAGGGCTTATTTAAGGAGCACCTTGTTTGGCTGTTGAAACTTCCCTTTCACTACAATTAGTTGTTGTCTAGGTTATATTTTTCCAGATGCAGATACAAGGACTGCCTGAAGAGAGAAACTACTTTTTCTTCAAGTAGTAAAGCAGCTTTAAGTACACAAATACATCACCTTTTCAGTACTCTATAAAACTTTTAATTTCAAGGGTTCTCATTGTGTTGTTTCTACTGGAGTGATGTAGTACTTAAGAATTTTTGCATACACTGCATGGTGTCTATACCTTCTGATTTAAGTCGGATATAAGTCAAGCTCCTTTTAAACTGATTAAGGAGGTGTTTAAAATGTGTGCACTGTACAAAATCAATGAAGAGCCTCACCCAAGGCTACGTGCTTGAAAGGCAGAATTGTTCTATGTTTCACACATCTAAAATGGTAATCTCTATGTACCAAGTACTTGAAAAACATAATTTTTTAACAGCTGCAGAGGAGACATCTTGAGTGTGAATTTTATTAATTTGTCTTTTTAGGACATAAAAAAACCCAAACACAAACACTGTGCTGTCTCAAATGTATTGGAACTTGCGGCAGTTGATAGGTGTAGTTACAAAAAACTTTAGGAGGGGAAAGTTGTTATCTCTAGTAAGTATTGTGGCAAAACGGGACATCATTTTACCGTTCTGGTCATGAAAATGTATCATCATCATGTTTCCATTCAAGAAATGAATATAACTTATGCATTAACAATTCACCTAAGAAAAAAACAACCTGTTGAAAAGGTGTCATTGCTGTATACATGACTTTTGTTGTTAGAAATTCTAGTTGTTTGTTTGTTGTTTTTTTTTTTTTTTACTGCTAATAGCATGCCTAATTACGAAGATACTTTTAAGGCACTGTTAAGGGACTTCTGTCAGTGCCATTTCAAGAGGAATCTGTCCCTCTAGTCACGAGGAAGCAGTTCCAGATTATATCAAAATAAGGACAGCAGGAGATGAATATTTATTTACATAATGGGGAGTCATATTTGCATAATCAAATACTTTGTAAAGATTCTGCAGATGTAAAGAGGAAGTTTAATGTTCTTTGGTTTCTTTGTGCTTTTCTAATTTAATAATAAATTTTATTTTAATTGGGTACCAATAGCTATTGTGTATTTTCTGCAGTTATCACTATTCATTTGACTGATGCTGACTTTCACCCTGAGAGCAAGAAACATAACAGAGTGCTTTGGGCCTTGAAAGAAAAGAAACCTTTAGAATTTGACTTCCTACTGGCTTGGTATAATACAGGTAAATAAGAACTAAAAGTAAAACTAAAATGCAGCTGACATGAAGTCCAAATATTTTTAGTTTACTGTTTTTTTTTTCTAGTGATTGTCCAAATGCATTTTCAGTGGAGAGAAAAGTTAGATTGAAATGTGTATGGGTGAGATTTTTTGTTTGTTTTGTTTATTTGTTTGGGGTGGGGAGGGTGTTACTTCCTGTGCACAGAACAGCTCAGTTCAGGAGCACAAAGTGATTCACAGGAGGTAGATTAGTTGCTTAATTTCCTTTCTCTATGTTGCCCAGGCTTTCTGGCAAAACTTTGCCTGTTTGATGGTGCTGCCTCTTCTTTATAAATTTGTGACATACGTAACCATTATCAATACTCTTTTTTTGGTTTGTATTTTATTAATACACGTAAGTTATGTATCTAGTTACATACTTAGGATGGGGAGCTCTGATTTCATCAGTAGTTACAGGACATGTACAGATTCCCTGTTTACATCATGTGCCATGTGCCCAGATACACAGACTGCTGTTTGATCACTTTATTCTCAAGCACTTGTTTGAGGTTGGAGCCAAGTAAAAGGTTGCTATAAGAAACTGTTGTACTGTTTCAAGTGTTCTTCTACTATTTGTTTATCTACTGTTTTCTAATTACACTATTTTTTTCTTCTGGCCTTAAGTATGTTTCCTCCTCTGAGGGAAACTTTTTAAGTCCCCAGTTGTTTTTATTACCTCAGAACAGGCTGTATGTAGGGTTATGTAGCATTTGCATAGAACTCATGAAAACTGCAAGTGTCTGTACTGAAAAATATGGTTTTCTTCATCACAGATATGTAGCTTTTGGTGTTGTTTTGCTTTGAGTCTCCACACTAGGTAGAAAGGATATTAGAAAGGTCCCTGAGAATGCTTTCCCATCTCCTCTTTATATTGTTCATTTTTTCTGGCTCTTTAAGGCCAAGTGTGAAAAGGAGTTAACTCATCTGAGAAATGGAAGCTGTTTACAAGCTCCTTTAGGAGTGTCCATGTTTCACTTTATTCCTTCATGCTTCCCCTCCCCCTTTCAAAGTACTAATCATATGACAAGGATGCTTCCTTGTTTGTCATACAGAAATTGTTTAAAGGTTTGCAATTCCCGTCCTTGTAATCTTCAGGAAAGAGTCACAGTGAAGGCTGTTGCTACCATAAATGGTGACATAAATCCAACTGAGGTGGCAGATCTTCACGCTCAGCTTGCTTGGATTTATTGACCCTGGACGGAGAGCAAAATGCCTCTAGGGCCACTATTTGTCATATGTTTGCTGCTGACCGTGCTAACAGCATTCAGGAAGAATAGCATTTTTTTCCTCACTTTCTTACATCCCCAAAACAGGTCAGGTCAATCATTTCCTGAATATGGAGTTAAATCTGAATGCCTTTCTGTGCTAGAATCTTGTGCTCATAACACACAAAAGACTATTAGTTCCTTAGTGAACTGACAAAAATAAAACTTTTATAGGTTTTTATTAATAGATATGAGACATTGTGTAGATTCTGCTGGAAGGGAAAAAGTGGGCTGTGTTTTGTCGAGAGAATCTGTGTCCTCTGTGAAAATTCTGCTTTCAGCCTTCCTGCTGATATCTGGTGTTTCTTGCTATGGCCAGCACTGCAGGATTTTTGGTTTTCATACTCAGTTTTCCCACACTGTGGTTTTGGCACCAAGAACAGGAAAAGGGAATATGGAGCGTCTCATGTCTTTAATGACAGAGGCAATACAATCTTTTTTCTATTGTTGTAATTTCTATCACAATTTTCCGTGTTTATTGGATGAAATTCAGTGGTTTCTGAAGAGCTTTGATGATGTGCCTGGTTCCTGTTATCATAGAAAGCTGTGCTGTAGCTAGAGGAATTGTTCTGTTAGGATCTGACTGTAGTCTTTGAGATTTCCTGCATTTAGGGCTATATCTGAGGCTCCCACACGCAGCAGACATGTAAAATGTATGATTTTCTATATTTTACTAGGAATTCTAGGGCAAAATGATACATTATTTGAACCTGTTAGGCTAACAAATGCCAATAGAATGTAAGGAAGATCATCTCTTCTGGCACTTTTCAGACTTAAATATATCTATATGAAAATACTAAATTAAGAAGAATTCAGTGATTGCCTGTCTTTGTCACTGTGTCCTTTGGAACAACCTTTTTTTGAAGAATGACTAAAAAAATGAGCTTACCTCTCCTTTTTCTACTCCCCCCCACATGATTGTCCTTGATTATGTAAATATGATTGATAGACTTTAGGCAGTCCATGTTTTCTGGTAGGAAATTTTAGATATGGTTTTCCACAGTGAACTCTACCCTATTCTTGAATTTCTGCTGTTTACACATGCCTTTTCTATGGTATTTGGATGTTGTTCTGCACTTCAGACTTTTCATGAGTAAGGCATTATTTCTTGGTCTCCTAGACACCCATTGTTGCTTTTTGAAAATAGCACACTTTATCTGGGATTTGAGATTTCGGAGAATTTATTCCATGTCAATTACCTTCCTGCTTCAAAAGCAAGTTGGTAATATGTCTGAATTTAAAATATGCCTGCTTAAGTTAGTTTTTTAGTCTAGGTACCTGCTGTTTTGGGTCTCTTACTAGTGCTGTCCCACAAGTCCATCAAGGTACATTTAATTCTTACAGCCATACTGCATTGAAGAGGTATCGGGGAGAGGAAAGCAGGGGTGAGTTTATTCTTCTAGTAAAGCGACATTGGTGATGTATTTTGATTTCTTTACCCTCTCTTCTTTCTTCTCTCTTCAGTTCTTATACTCCAGATTATTTTGGAATTTCTCTTGGCATCATTGATAAATGTGTTTTAAACCTCTAATCACATGTTCACTTTTCCATTATTCAGGGAAAATGCTGTTCTGATGACATCCCTGCTTCATTTTATCTGTTCCTTTTCAGGAACACTCTGAGTTCATCCTTTTAACAAGCTCATTTTATTACTCAAGCAGTTAATTCTGCTTGAATTTTCTATTGGCAAATCTACACTTTGTAGTTAGATAGCAAATTTACTGAGCTGTATTAAGTTGCTGAATCTTGCACTAAGTTTTATTTCCAAGAAGATAAGGAAGCTGAAGATTTTAAGGTTCTGCCATGGATTGAAAGCACACAAGCAGTTTCACACTGCATTTTTTTGTTTATATACAAATGTTTCATGTATTCACTGCTTCTTTTGTTTAGTAGTTTCGTAACAGCTGTTTGTGGTACTGTGTTGTTAAGGTGCAGAGGGATCAACATTGATGTCATACTTTTCAAAAAACCAAATACAGGCCCTGAAGCCAAAAATAACATTCAGCACCTTAAGGGACTTGCAGTGTCCAGTGTTACAAAGTAATGATCTGCAAGGAAAACCAGAGGAGTCCTGCAGTACAGAGGAGCTCTTTGAATGGCTGGGTGCTGTCTTGAATCAAGTTAGCTTGTAAGTATTTGAATTTGTTTGATCTTTGAAAATGTTTTAAGTAAGGAAAGCCACAATTTATTTTAAGAAATAATTGAATAAAAATTAACAAAGACACTGTTTTGTAAGTGAGAGTCTTTTGTGCAGTTAAATGTTTATGTCAGTCTTGAATGGCTTCATTGGTGTTTTAGGGTACCCATATGTACTGGATTGGGCTGGGATAGAGTTAATTTTCTTTGCAATAACTGGTGTGGTGCTGTGCTTTGTATCTGTGAACTAAGTGTTGGTAACAGGGGTTATTTTAGCTATTGATGGGTAGGGCTTGCTCAGTCTGAAGGCCTCTTTCTGTCTCTCCTATGGCCCAGCCTGTGAGGAGGCTGCGGGGTAGGCAGGAGGCTGGGAGAGAACCCAGCCAGGACAGCAGACCCCAGGTGAGCAGAGGGATATCCCACACCATGGGATGTGGTGACACACTTAGCAGCAAAAGCTGGGGCGAGGATGGGTGGGAAATGTTCCGAGTTCCAGTGTTTGTCTTCCCAAGTCAGTTAGAAGCTCTGCCTTCCTGGGGATGGCTGCACATCTGCCTGCCCTTGGGAAGTACTAAATTAATTCCTTTGCATACTTTGCTTTCACGTGGAACTTTTCCTCTGCTTATTAAATTGTCTTTATCTCAACCCATGCATTTTCTCCCATTACCCTTTTGGTTCCAGGTGGGAGTGAGTGAAGGAGCAGCTGTGTGGTGTTTGGGTGCTTACAGGGTTAACCCACAGCACCATGAGATCTTTTGTATTGGCTGCTTGGTCATTAGTTAGTTGGCATTAATTTAGATGATATACATGGATCCTACTTGTTTGGTACAAGTTCTGACTACTAAGACATCCTGTAGAATATTTAAAGCATATTTATTTCAGTTACTTCATTGTTTTTTCTTCCAGAGACAACAAATCCTCCAGCTTCTTGTCAACCTATTGCTGCCCTGAGCCCAACACAGTGGTGGAAAAAGCTTTTTTGTGCACAATCACAGGCTTTATAATTCCTGAGAAGATTATTCAGTTATTGGAGCAGCTGTGGTAAGGATTGACAGGAGCACATTACTATAGCACTTGTACTCAAATACTTCTTGTTTGAAATCACATTTAAATACTTTTCAGTTGGAAAGAAATAGCAAAATATATAAATGTAGACTTTTGGTTTAATTAGGAAATGAGCTGGAAGCTTGATGTCAGTATAAAATGTAATAGACAATTTTGAATGCCTTGAGTTTGAAAAAGCCTGCCCTGTATTGTAGTCATACTTTGGTTTTTATCTGAATTTCTAAGAAACTGACTGTATGGTACTCCTACATTTTTAAAATGTGGAATGGATAGTATCTGGCTGTGATTATTCATAACCTATTTCCTCTCTGGTGGTAAAAGTATTTGTGTTAAGCATAGCCTTAGACTACTTTACTTCCTCCAATGTCTTTTTTCTTCCCTGATAGCAATTGTTCTCATTAAATTTTCAATTTTCTGAAAGACAGTGCAAGCTGTAGGAAAGTCAGAACTGCTACTTTACAACTTAGAACTTTTTCTAATTGCTGCAACTGCAGATTTGCCACGTATAAAACTATGATAGGAATAATAGATAGTCAATCTTACTTTGTTCCCTAATGTATTCTGAATATTTTCTTTCAAGTTTATTTATTATGGACTAAATTTTTTAACTGTTAATAAATTTTCAGTGAAGTATGTCTTTGATTGTTTTACTTTATACTGTAGACTTGAATGTGTTGCCTATTCCATTATAATCACTGATTATCTTGTCTTCTTGCTTGCAGTTGCTATTTTGGTGAACCAAAACTGGCATATTGGCTGACCTTAACTGTGCATGGCTTTGCAGACAGCCCTGTTTCCTGGAGAGAAAGTGAACATGGTTTCCACAAAGGAGGAGAGAACTTGTACAACTTTGTCATTTTTAGAAATCTGGACTACTGGCTTCACATGGCTGTAGGAGCTCATGATGATTGTCCTCCATAAAGCTATGTCCACAGAAGAAGTTCTCAAATAATCCTTTGTTACTGACAGAAAACTAATAAAATATTTTTATACAAGTAGTTATGTAACAGATATAAGTACTAAGAGTCTGTTTATGTTTTTGTTATTTGTAGCCAATGGCAGGAATGGATTTTTGTTTCTTTACTGTCATACAATGCCTTCTGAAAAACTTCACAAAACTTCCACTTTTAGGAAAAGTTTAGTTTTTTGAGTTATTCTCAGGAATTGACTGTAGGTAGTTCTCTTTCCCAGGAGCAAATCTGGAATTTGAAAGTTAGCTTTACAGATTGCTAGCTAAAATATTTGTCAGGAAAGCTCATTTTGGGATTAAGTGTTTTATTTCTTTACATTAAAGACCTGCAAAACCTTCGTATCCCTGCTTAAAATATTTCTGCCTACATGCTAGCAAAAAAACCAAAGGCGTGGATGTGTTCTCCTTGATTTGGTAGGGGTAGGAGAATAAAGGTGAGGAGAAGGTGTGTGGCACTGGGAGGAGCACCCATTAAACCTGGAAAAAGTGAAGGCTTACTGACCTGTCCCCCTGCTTTTGCAGATCACAGTTGATTATCAGAAGTGTGTTTCTGACAGTGATGCAAAAAGTCTGCTGCTTCCTTTCTTAACTGACCTGCACACCCACACGAAATCTGTTCTTTCAAAGGGAGGGTGTGGTTCTTGCTTACAGGGCAACTCATGGAGCTGAGTCCCACTGCGGTGTTATTGCAGACATGTTTCTGGGAAGGAAGGTGTGGATGTGCCCTCACACAATGCACTTGGTGTGAAACAGGTTTCATTAACAGTAAGAAGTAATGCTGAGAGTATAGGCAGCTATGAAGAATCCGTGCTACTCCTGTTGAAATCCATGGAAAGGTGGATGGTGTTTGGGGAAGGTGGAATTTGGGGGTTGTTTTGAGGAGTGGGTACATATTAAAGTACCAATGCAGTGCTAAAATTGAAGTGGGTCACTTGATGGAGTGAGAGATGGGTACTGGAAACTGGGGAAAAGCTGTAGTGGAAATGTCGGGGTGAGTGGCGCAGAAAAGCAGGCTGTGGGAAGCAGCAAAGCTCTATTTTTATCTGTTTATTTTCTCTTCAGTGAGGACAGTCATGCTGGATGATTTACCAGGTGCTATTTGTCTAGCACACCCCTCCACTAACCATGACCCCCTTTTGCTCAAGCTGTGCTGCATGTCCTACAAACACAACTCCGATGAATCAGCAAACAGTGTTCTAAATCATGACGTTGTCTGGTTTCTAGTAGGCTGCCAGGAGCACAAGTTACATGTACAGACACAGACTCACCCAATCACAAACTGAACAGACAATGGTACAAGAGTCTGGGAAAATTCTTGCTTTGGCACATGGCTAGGGAATACTTAACATGATTGTGTTTCATTACTGTGCATCAGTGTGAAGGGCTTGAGTTGTTGACTGAAGTCTGCTTTTGAAAGTGTTGAGGCATTATGGACTTACATAAAAGAAACTAGTAACAAGAAGTATCTTCCTTTTTCCTCTTGACCAGAAGGTTGAGTTTTTACTTGAGCCTTCCTGGAAATTAAACCTGTAGCAAAAATTCTAATATAAAGTTAAAAATCCTAAATTTTAATGAAAATTTGAAGTTTGTAGCTTCAGAGCTAGTAACTGCAGGCCCTGTGACTGTGATCATCGTTCTACCAGATTATAGTAAAACCTTTTCCTCAACAGTGTGCACGGGCATAAAACCAATGTGTATTGCTTGAGGGGAAAAAAACCACCCAGAAGTAAATCTTGTATGGGTGGGTTTGCTTCCCATAGTGGTTCCAGAAGCAGCTGTGGGACTTGACTGAAGTGGCAGCAGTAGGACCAGGTGAAGTGATTTTTCTAATGAAAATCAGGTGAAGTGATTTTTCTAACGGTTGCAAGAGCAGGTTGGGCTCCTTGGTGGAGAAGGAGCTGTGGAAGTGCTGGTGGGTGCCCAGCAATTGCCTCAGGGAGACCATTCTGGAAAGCAAGCTGAGAAAAAGGCTTTCAGCTCCCAGTTCTCTTTAGCATGTGAGTATTAAGGTTAATTTTTTTTTTTTTTTTTTTTTTTGGTGGATATTTAAGGAAATCTCAACAGATTGGTCTGTAGTTACCTTCCCCTTCGTGTACACAGGCAATGGACTGCAAGCATTTCTCAAAGCTCAGTGTTGTGATGGCTGTGCTGCATCCTACAGTCTGGAGCTGTCTGCTGATGGTGGCTTCAAATGGCTTTTCCAGCTAGGGAAGGGATTAAAATACTGTCTGTGAATCCTGTAACTTGAGATGCTGGGCTGGTTTCTAGCTTTCTCCTGTTTTCTTTAAACAGGTATAAAGTAAAATTGAAAAAACTTGTGCTGTTAATAGGCACTGCAGTTGGTCTAATCTTAGGCTCTGTGAGGTGATACTGTGCTAACCAGATCCATGCTTCCTAGCAAGGTCCAGTGATGCACTTACCTCTAAGAAGAGAGGCTTTCCTGTGCTTGCTGGATTTTGTAGTTGCAGAGAAGAAAAATGGGTGGAATTTACTCCTATCTTACCTCCTGAAAAAAAAAAAAAAGAAAAAGAAAAAAATTGACCTAAGGGAATATTTTTTCCCTGGGATGAGGTACAGCACTCTGTCCTTTACTATCTGTATGGAGTAGTGTGTCTTTCCAGGAGACTCCCAAGCATGGAGGAAAGCCTTGCTGAGAAGAGGAATAGGAAGGCATTCCTCACATGTTTGGGGATCCTGTTAGGAGGGAAGATCTGAGACCGAGCCAGGTGGGCAGTAGTTCAAGGAGGGATTGGCCAGGGCATGTGAGGTGAAAAGAAAAAGTTTTTGCCTGAGAATGAAAGAAGGTTGCTGGTGATGTTCTTGCCCTTTGTGCCTGCCTGTAAGGGAGGACAGGAAAATGCAAAAGGTTCCTGAGGGCTGCAAAAGTAATGGGGAGCAGCTGTGCACCAGCTGCTTCTGAGATCAAAGGCGACTAAGTGCTTACTAAAAAATTTTTTCCTCAGGGGAGTGTTTTATCTAGCATGGGGAAGGAGAGCCAAATATCTGAATGCAGAGACAAGCCTGAGGCAAGCTGGTTGTGTGAGAAGTAGAGGTTTTCTTGTCCTGGAATGCGGACAGACAGTGATAAGCCACTCCTTGAGAGCTAGGGAATTGCTCTGCTTTAACTTCAGCCTCTCTGGTAAGCTGTGCAGTCCTGCCTCTCTGCTGGTGGATGGAGAGAGAATTTTGTTGAGAGGTTACTGGGGAGTAGCAGAACCCTCTGGAAACAGGCCACAAAGACCATGTGCTTTTCCAGGCACGCTGTCTCTGACTAAGTGTTTATGGGTGTTCATAGATTGGTTGGTGTAGAACAAATGGAGGACAAACTTCCATGTTGACAGAGGAAGATGAAAGCTGAAGTAGTTGGATAACATCTGTTGCACAGAATCACTCTAAATAGAACGTATCTGCCTCTTTGGTTTGCAAATGCTGCCTGAATCAGAAATCTGTCTGGAGAAATAAAGGTGTGTATCCCATAAAGGTGTGCATCCCTTTAGGAAGAGTGGGAAACTAATGATGGTGATGGTACTACCATTGATGGTTGTGTGAGAAAAGGAATATTAGCATGGGGGGACTCCGGGAAAAGTTAGAGATAAAGACGTGAAGAGAAATTTCTTTCTCATATTCTGGATATGCAGGGGGAAAACAGGGAGACTTGGCATGGGCAGAGTTTGGGGAATGCAGGAGAGACAAGGACCTAAGGCAGCTTGAAAGGGAGGTGACAGAGCTTAATGAAAGAGAAACATCAGCTCTCTTCTGGTTGCATCATGCTCTCATTTACTGGGAGATATCCATTTTGGAGAGGCTGGTCAATTTGTAAAGTTGGATGACTGGAAAAAAAGCCAAGTTCATATCTCATCAGCCTGGGGTTTGCATAGCAATTATGGGAGCAAGGAAGGTTTCATAGAGATGGACCATCATGTTCTTGTTGGAAGAAATTTGTTTGCTTCTATAATTCCTTGCTATAGGCTGCCTCTCTTTGGTTTATAGAGAAGTTATAGAAATGCCAAAAATTCACAACCGTCTTGAGATAGGTCAAATTCTGTAGATGTTGCTGTTAATTGCAATTAGCAGCTGGGCTGCTCACCCAATGCTGCAGAGCCACGGTGGAGTTTTGCTCATGCAGGGAGTGTCCCTGCTACAACAAAAAGAAATTGTAAGGCACACAAAAGATATAAAGAAAAAGGAGAACTTAGAGGACTGTTTCTCTTCCCCCTCTCATGGGAGGTGCATAGCAAACCTGTGGCTGATCTGGGATTAGAATGAAGGCTTTTTGCAGCTAGTCCAGTACTCTAGCTGCTAGATTATAGTTCCTCTGATGACATTAATTAACGATTAATGCATGCAATTGACGCTGTCTTAATGTGGCAGCTATGCTGGAACATGCTTGAACTGTTTCTCTTAATCATTTTTATTCACAGTGTGGAGCTTAAAGACCAAAACTGGAGAATAATTGAATTAGCGGGCTATTAAATAACCACCACCTTCTGAATAGTAACAAGAACTTCAGAAATATCTACCATAAACTAAGACAACTTCTTACAAAGCAGTGGCCTCTGTTTCACCCTTGCAAGTAGCTTCCAGCACTACTAACAGAACTTATTTTAGTGCAGCTGTGTACAGGAGCAAAAAGGGGGAGCTAAAGTGACTTTGAGCAGTTTTCAGCTGTCCAGAAAGCAGAGAGCAGGGAGCCTTGGCTAGGGCAAGTTTCTTTTATTTGGCTTTCCTAGCACAATTTAGTTATTAGAATATGGATGTGTTTGACTTGGGCAATTGAAGAATATCCTAAGCACTGGAAAGGCTCTTCTGCGCCCTCCCCACCCCACTGTAAAATATAGATAAATATTGTTATTAATATTATTGCTGTTAATGCCTAAGGCAGATGTCCAGGTTCTATAGATGCTGACAGCCTTTCTGCATCATCTATCAGTAGTGGTACAGAGAATGTAAAGGGACTGAGTTTTATTGTGTGGTTGCAGTTGGATAACAGCACATTTATTGATTTATCATGCAGAGAAGTATTTCTAATTTTGTCACTGTT